CTGGTCTGGGTCACACTCTGTGACCCAGCTAAGTTACAGCTTAACTCGACATCTCCCTGTCCCTGCTGCTGCCCCAACAAGCCGTTAAGTGCAGCTTGCCCTGTAACACCCAACAAGCGCTCACTAAGCCGTAGGGACCAAGCTTCTTCCCAAAACAGGCTAAGTGGGATTTTGAGTGGCCAGCTTCCAGTAAATTTTTTTTCCATTTGAATATTAAAAATATCTTTATTCATTTTGAAATAATTTTATACTTATCCCCAAATGGCAAAAATAGCACAGAGTTCCTGTGTGCCCTTTACCCAAGCGTGTCCCCAGAGGTCAGCATCTTACGTCATGCCCCGGGTTGGATCTAGAATGTCCCCAGAGGCCCTGTGCTGAAAGTCTTGGTCCCAGGACAGTGGTTAGAGCAGAATGGATATGAGGGCTCCAGCATCATCTGTGGACTCACCCACTGGGGAGGTTTACAGCTCAGAGGATTGTTGGGGCTGAGCTGGAAGAAGTCACTGGGGAGTGTCCTGGAAGGGAATCTTGTTCCTGGTCTGTCTGTCTGTCTTCCCCCTCCCCCCAACCTCTGATGACCATGAGGCAGGTGGTTCCCTCTGCCACCTCTTCCATCACTGAGATGCTCTACTTTATCCTAGGGCCCAACCAGCAGAAACAGCCAACCAGAGTGAGACCTCTGGAGCCCCAGCCGAAACGAAACTTTCTTTCTTGAAGCGATTTTCTCTGGTGTTCTGTCACAGCCATTGGAAAGCCATCATGCATAACCGTAATGCCACCATCTAAACAAGAACAGTGACATTGTATGGTGTTGCTGGCAATGCCTCGGGGCTTACTCAAGTGTCCTTTTCTCCAGAAAAGGAGATCTGTTGTGATCCCGCACTAGGTTCAGTCATTATGCCCCATAAGTCTCCTCTGTCTGGGACAGTCCCCATGTTACTTGTCCTGTATAATCCCCCCACACACACACCTGTGACACACGCTGGGCAACTGTCATTTCTGCCATGTCTCCCTCCTGACGATGGAGACGGTGTCTTCTTGGCATGATGTCTACCAAGTTTCTCCCCGTTAAGGCTGCTCTCCCTACTTTATAAATAGTGTGTTATGGGGAGGTGCTTTGGAGCAACACCAGTATCCCGTTTCCCTCCTACTCTGCCTCATCCATTTCTTCCTGACTCCGCATAGATTCTTGACTTCCTACTTCCCCAGGGCTGATCATCCGACTGTCATTATTTTAAGTCTCACATTGTCTCTCCTCTGGCCAGCAGGAGCCCCTTCTCGTCTCTTTAACACTCCCCCTCCCCCCTGCCACACACACATATTGTTAGAGTAAGTTCTTACTATTGGATTAACTTTTCCTGGGAGACATAAACATCTGTTCACCCCAAATAGGGTGTTGACAACTTACAGCTGTGTGGAGGTGTGGGCGAGGAGTTACCTAAACTTACCTCTGGCTTCCGCTTTCCCAGCATCCCTTAATCACTTGTGTATCCTAATTGGGGGGAGGGTTCTTGTGTGACTGGTGCATGCCCCTTGAAACTCTCCCTTCTCCTCGAGTACCTGGTGATAGAACATGAATGGGACATTATTGAGGGTCTCCTGAGCTTATCACAGCAGATGTGCTTTCAAGAGAGCGATGGCCATGTTCTGCCCAGAGGACGGTGTTCCACAGTGCTGACCTAAGAAGGTGCTCCCGGTTTATCGTGCCTTCCCCTACCCAGCCCAAGAACCAGCCATTTCTGATTCCTTGGCAAATCTGGTTTGGGCTGTTGGCTGTGCCCTTGTGCCTTGTGAACCCTGTCTGTGAAAAGAGCTAGGGACTGTAGATGCGTGCATATCTTTCTCCGTACCGTGATGGTGAGTTCACACTCCTGCCTGCATGCCCAGTCAGCCTTCTGCACTTGCCCTCTCCTCCCTAACTCTGACCCCACCCCGGCCCCGCTTTCCTTGACACTGTACATACTTGACCCATCTCCCCCATCTCTCTTTGCTCCCCTTCTCTCCCACAGTGGACCCCGATGCTTCATCCTTCACCACTTCCGGTTCCTGTTGAGCAGCCTCTAGCTAGTCACAAACTCCTGGTTTTGTAACAGTAGTTCATATATTTCCAAACCATGAGGCTGGTTTTGCCCATGGGAACCTGATGGTGACAGGGCCAGAGACAAGCTGGGTTGTAACCCCCACCGGGCACTGGTATGTTTGTGCTTTCAGCCGTAAAGACCGGTCAGGCCTTCTGTTCACATCCTCACTTTTCATCCAGGGAAATTTGTCTGGTTGCCTCAGGAGTCCCACAGGGCTTCCACCCTGCCCAAGTGGCCTAATTTACGGACATCGGCTGTCCATGTCCTTCAGCTCTTCAGCCCACAGAGTGGGCCATGTCCGTTTATAAATGCCTCTTTGTCTTGTACCTGTGTTGCACAACATTTGAGAGCTGGAGCGTTCCATGTGTAATTCCGAATCCAGAGTCTTCGCTTGAAAAGTCAGCACATCTGGCCACCCTCGGCCCACACCTCCACCTGGTCCCCGTGCATGCTCTCCTACTCAAACTCTCCTAGCATGTGAGTCGGGAATGAAGCTGTGTGGGTTGCTTGTGCCCCACTCCACGCTAAAGAGGAACAGTCTAGGCAACAATCCGGAGTGAAAGGGTCCTGTAGATAGATGTCACTCTCACACCATCGGCAGATTGAAAGATTGTCTGGGATCCATCATGAGTTGAAAACCACCTGCAGTCAGCTGGGGTGTTCCCTCCCCATTCTGCTGCCCTCCCAGCGTGTGGTCCTCTGACAGTCCCAACAGCACCCCACTGGGAGTCCCTGGCCGTGGCCTGACAGGAACTTTGCATGAGACCTCTCTGCCTCTTCCCATTCTCACTCCACCGCTCCCCAAAATTAAACACAGGATGCCAGTAGCCCCGCTTGTGTCCTGCTCTTGCTCTTTGCAGTCTTCAAGCCTTGGGCTGCGCTTTCCCTCCCCCAGCATGCTCCCCTGTGCAGAGTTCACCTCCTATAGAAAGCCCCACTGGGACCCCAGGGCCCTTCTTCATGCCACGGGATCTCTAGCTCACTCACCTGAATGCTCGATGAATTTTCCTGCCACTTTTTTTTTTTTTTGTCTCACTTGCTAGTTAAGACAGGCCAGACTGATTACAAGGACTCAGTGTGGAGTAGGGACCTGATCGGTCAAGTGAGGGTTAGTAAGAGGACCATCGAACACTGAGCAGGTCCAGAATGCCAGGCATGGTTCTGGGAGTTTTATATGCATCTAGCTATTGTTGCTCTTGTGGCTGCGAAGTCGGCAAGGTCCACAGAAGTTACATGCCATGCCCAAGATAACATACGGTGCTGGGGTAATGCTTGAGCCTCTCGGAGACCTCTCTAGGTTAAAGGTGTGTCAGCGAGAAGTGAGGTGGGTGTGTCGTGTAGACCTCCCAGCCTCTTGGTCCCACCGCAGCTCTAGCAGTTAAGTACAGAGCAGAGAAAGTGTCAGCCTGGCATCCCACAGGAATTTTTTCTCCCTCCGCTCCACCCCCCACCCCCTCCACCCCGAGGCCTTAGCAGATAGGTGGCTCGTGTGTCGTGTGTAATTAGGAGCATCGGGCACCAGCCTTGATTCAGACAAAGGTGTAGCAGGTGTTTTTGGTTTCCCAATCACAAAGAGGAGCCTGGCTGTTCTGCACCAGCCTTTCCCTAAAGTCAAGCAGCACCTTCGAGCTTGAGGGTGTGTGGATGGAGGGCCCTGTTGACAGGGCTCAGCTACGGGAAGACTGACTTTCTGCTGCTCGTGGCCTCAGGAAAGCCAAGTTCACAGAAGCCTCCCATGGGGCCTCTGCACCAGATCCCTTCACAGATGGGCCCAAGGGCAAGACAGGATGAGAATTAAATCTGTGTCCATTTGATTCCAAAGCTCCATATTTTCCCATAATATCCTAGGACTGCCCTGGCCCTGGTGATGTGTTTAGGAAAGAAAAGCTAGAGAGAACAACCAGAGGCAAGAGGCAGCCTTTCCTCCAGCTGACCCTGCCTCATCCTGTAGGCAGAAGTTGGTAGGGAAGGCGGGGATGGTGGAGCAGCACCAGGAGGTGAAGGCAGGAAAAGGAAGAAGAAATGAAGAGGTGGTTCAGAGCAAGACAGCAGTGTTGCGGTGTAACTCAGGAGACACAGCCTCCCGCTGGTCCCTTAGGCCCAGATGTTCAGTTCAGTGTACAGTTACAGGGCCAGTACCTACCGCCTCCCAGACCATGCTGGGGGGCGGGGGGGGGGCAACAAGACTTCCCAAGGCCCTTTGTCTTTGGGAATAAGTTACATTCTGGCAGAGGCAAGACCCACCAAAAAAATGTGCACAAGTATAAACACATGAGAGCATAAAACGGTAATGAGCTTGGGTCATGTCGTAGAGACATGATGGGATGCAGCAGAAGGATGTGTAGGTGTTCTGTCTTGCTGGCTAGTTTTATGTCAACTTGACACAAACTTAGTGGTCTAGGGGTAGAGAACCTCAGTTGAGAAAATGCCTCCCTAAGATCGGGCTGAGGGCCAGCTTATAGAGCATTTTTTTTAAATTGTCATCGATGGAGAAGGGTCCAGCCCATGGTGGGTGGTGCCATCCCTGGGCTGGGGGTCCTGGATTCTATAAGAAAGCAGGTAGAGCAAGCCAGTGAGCAGCACCCCTCTATGACCTCTGCATCAGCTCCTGCCTCCAGGTTCCCACCCTCTTTGAGTTTCTGTCCTGGCTTCCTTCGATGATGAACAGTGATGTGGAAGTGTAAGCCACGTAAACCCTTTCCTCCCCAGCTTGCTTTTTGGCCGTGGTGTTTCATCGCAGCGGTAGAAACCCTAAGGAAGACGGTAGGGCTCTCATAAGGCCTCTCAAAGGAGGTTGCAAGGAACTCTCTGTTAAGAGCTGTGGTTGCTGACCCCGGTGGCCTGCCGTCAGCGCCCCAGCCTCTGCCTCTTGGCCTGTACTCTCTACACCTGCCCAATTCCTCTGCTTTTTCTCCACAGGTTTGACATCTACAGGAAGGTGCCCAAGGACCTCACGCAGCCGACGTACACTGGTGCCATTAGTGAGTAATTGCCCTTCTCACCATTACCCCAGCCTTCCACCTGCTCCCCAGGCGGACAGGGCAAGAAGGAAAGACTGGTGGGAGACGAGACACGCCTAGCATCCCACAGGCCCTGCAGCCCCTTCCACACAGCATCTCTGTCCTTGCTATAGAACCCCACAAGGTAGAGCCTCCAGCCAGGTCTAGAAGGCTGCAGAAAAATATCAGTGCAGGTTCAGGATCCTCAATCTCAAAAATCCAAAGCTATGTCTCCTAGATAGAAAACTCTGGGAGTCCTGACATTCACTATAAACTGAAAGCCCACCCCTAGCCCTGGGTAATTGGTGGCACTGAAGATGTGATATTACCTCAAGGCTGTATGGATAAGCGCACTTGAAACATGAACAGCCCGTTTAGACTTGGGCCCCATTTTCAAGATACCAGATATCCTAAAGTCTGTGAGACGGCCGGGCAGCTGAAAGCATTTGCTGTGCAAACCTGATGGCCTGAGTTAGATCCCTAGAACCCATAGTGGAAGGACACACACGAATGCGCGCACACACGCACACACATACACGATCTCACTCACTCATGATCATCAAGCAATAGTAGTAAATTACATAAAAATTTTAAAATAAAATAAAATCAGGGAAAATAAAGTCCAAGCAAGCAGATCGGGGGTGGGAGGGAGGCTTGCTTTTATCTTCCTGCCTCTGAAATGATTTGAATTGTTAATAACTTTAGCCAAAAAATGAAAAAAAAAAAAAAAAAAGATTTTACAAACTCACTCTGACTTGGTTCAATCAGAGGACCCAGGGCATCTCAGACAATTGTCTCCATTTGCAGCACCAGGCAGGGCAGGTGTAATCTGAGCCTAGAAGTTGTGTCAGCAGGACAAGAGGACCCAAGGACTGAGACTGGAGCGGAAGACAAATAATGACTCTGATGGTTTGGAACCAACCAAACAACCAAGAATTAGGGGAAAGGCCTTTGAGTCCATTGTGAATTGGGTTAAGAATTCTGGTAACCCTGAATACTCCTCCCTTCTCCTCCTCAAGTGTTGGCTGGGTATAGCAGCTCACTGCCAAAGATAAGACAATAGAAATATAAAACAGTAGCTTTTCTGCAGGGAAACCAAGATGGCAGCTCAGCCACGAGCGTGGTTGACGTCACCATGATTGGTCATGTGGATATATGAATGCCTGATACGACGTGCAGAGACGCTTGCCACTGAGGGGTCTTCCCCCACTAAGCTGTAGTCCTGGCAGATATGACAGAGCAGTACAGTCCCAGTCTGGGGCTCTTCTGCCAGATGTCTGAGCAGCACACTGCCAGAGAAGCAAGGCCTTGAAAAGACTACGGAAGAGGGAAGGATGGATTACAGAAGGACTCGGGATTTGAGGATCTGGGGATGCAGGGTAGCATTTAGGATCTGTTCCTTCACCAGAAAAGCCTCCCTGGGAAAGCTGGTGAAACCCGAGTAAAGGCTGTGGTGGAGTTAGGAGCAAGGCAACAGCTCCAATTCCTCCACACCGACATAGTGTGTCGACACGGCATGGTTATGTCAGATGTGAATAGGGGCACCCAGGAGAAGCTTTGAGCACTGTCCTGGCTTTGCATTCATTGCCATTCCACAACAGAAGACGTCCCCCCAAAGCAATACTCAGAACAAAGCAAAGTCACCAGCAAGTCAGTGGGAACCCTTGGGCCTCGCCTCAGATGCTCAGCGAGGGGAAGTGACTCATCCAAAATGTCACTGTTTACAGAAGGGGACAGTCAGGATTAGGTCTCGGATGCCTCGGATGCTTGGTATCAGACAGAGAACCTCCCAACTGCCCCAGCCTTGCTGTATGAACAGAGGCCAGGTGAACAGCCTGGAGTCCGCCATCAGGTAGACTGTTGGCCTTCGGGGATCCCGACTCGGCTACCTCTTCTGGCCCTCCCCTCCAGCCAGGTTCCTTAAAGCAGCAGGTACCCTTCTTCAGTTGTGAAGAAGAGATGGGTCTGCTTGGGTGCTCACAGCCCTTCCTGTCAGGAAGAGCTGACTTCATCCTCACACTTAGCTCCTGTGTGTCCTTGGGCCAGTCCTCTTTGAGCCTCAGTTTCCCCATGTGGAGATTAAGGGAAACTGAGCCAGTTTAGGGGCAGGGCACGTAGGGTCTTCTTTCGTGTACGAGTGGTTCCTGGTCACCCACAACGAAGACATGAGCATGTGACCCAAGAAGCCACGAAGTTCAGTGCTCCCTCCACCCCAGGAAAAAGACCTGCGTAGACTTGGAGAACTCACATTCCTACCCCCTCCATGCCGCCACGTGGCAGCTCAGTCTCCCAGCAGATTTCTCTGGCCTTTCTCTACTCCAGCCTCTTGAGCAATCAGGTATTGCCCTCCTAACAACCCAGGCTGTCCCCACACCACTGTCCTGCACACAGGGGCCAGCTGTGCCACATCCCCGCCTACCCTGTTCCCCACCTCCACCAACAGCTCTGCTTTCTATCCAGCCATCTCCTGTGGCACTGAGGGTGGCAGGCATGATTCCAGCCTCTTGTCACACAGATGTCCTTGCCATGTCTTGGCATCTTCTGTAGCTGTGACCATGAGGTCTCTCTCCAGGGTAAAGGAGCACTAAGACAAAGGGGACACACATTTTTAGCTGTTTAGAAAGTTCTGCCTGGCAGCCCTCAGGAACATGGTCTGATGAGCATTTCCTTACATGAGGGGAAAGGTCTGAGACACGGGAAGCCAGCCCTTAGCTACCATTTAGTGCACAAATATTTATGAAGCTGGACCTAGGGCCAGGCCCTGTGCCAAGTGCTGGGACAGTGCTGATGAATGGGGCTTTGGTCTTCGTCCTTGAGGCTCATACAGCCGAGCCCAGCAGCCCAGCTCAGCCATGCGCCATTGCATTACGTTGTGGGATGACTGCTATTAATAGCTGAAGGAGACAGCAAAATTCTGGGGCTTGAACGTCAGCCTTTGGATTTTGCCTCCTCCCTTACACGGCTCTGCGACCTTGGATGGACTCCTTGACATTCCCTCAGGGTGTAAGGTCTCAGGCCATAGCCCCTTCAGCTTGGCAGCACCCGGCTTCCTACTAGCAAGCGTCTCCTGGGGTTACATTCCAACTGCCCAGGGCCTGAGTCAGTTTCAGAAGTCTGGAGTCAGAGAGCCTCCAAGCCTTTGCCCAAACATGGATTGAAAGCCTTCACCCAGCCTTTGAGGTCTGAAGGCCGTGGCTGGAACACTTCCTACCTGCCCCCATGGTTTCTCACTCACTCATTCATCTATCTACTCGATGGAGATTTATCCCATGCCTTCCCTGAGCTGCGTTGGGTTAGCGCAGTACACTAAGACCTCGCCTCCGGCTCCCCAGTCTGAGACAGGAGACAGGTGTACTTAGACAATACAGTACGTGTAGGATGGGGTCATTGGACTCAGCTGAGTTACCCTGTTACCTGCTTGGTCAACCAGGCTTTAGGCCAAGCCTTGCGTAAACACACAGGTCTCAGGTTACAGCCTCCCCAATCTCGCCTTCTCCCCACCACTATGTGGGTAGTTAGGACTTTGGGGTGTACCTGCAGGTTTGGAGCAGGGAGGGTGGCTAGAGAGACGTTCATCCTAGAGTCAGCAGTGACCTTCGGAAAGCCTCCTGTGCCATGCCCTCACTGAAGCACCCACTGCGACTGGTGTGACCAAATGATGCGGAAATGTGGGTCCCGGATGGCACTGGACAGAAGGGCACAAGGGGCCAGCTGCAGGATGCTTTGCCCGCTGGCCGATTCTTCCCCACGAGGCAGAGGGAGACCGGGAGCCAGGACCTGGGTTGGTAGCCGAGCCGCCCAGGGGGAGTGGGGTTCAGTCCACAGCTGGAAAGGATAGTTGCACTTAATCTCTGTGCCTTGAACAGGACAAAACAAGCCACTGTCTGAGCCCGGACCTGTTTACGCTGCTTGCTGAGTGTGGGAAGCATGGCTGAAGGAGGTGTCTGTCATGCTGCTATTGGTTTAGAGCAAAGGGGAGGGGTGCTTAACGTATGTATATCTGCATAGATGAATGTGGATACGTGCTTTGTTTTGATTTTGAGAGAGAGTCTCAGCTAGCCTGGAACTTGCTGTGTAGTCTAGGCTAGACTTGAAATTTGGACAGTCCTTCCCATCTCTGCTCCTGAATGCTGGGCTTTATAGATGTGGGCCACTAGGCCTAGCCGTGTGTGTGTGTGTGTGTGTGTGTGTGTGTGTGTGTGTGTATACAGACTAGTTTATGTGTGTGTATATATACATATATATACATATATATATATACATACACATGCGTGTTGTTGCATATTTTCATGTTATTAAGTGCCCAGTTGGATCTTTTTCTTGTTTCTAACATGCACATACTTTCTATTTCCCCCCAAAGTAAAGCCTTTAAAAGCCGTGTGCATACTGCTTGTCAAAGCGGGGCAGAGGTTATAAGTATTCCGGCCCTCACCTCTGTGTGCCTCGTCATGCAGTTTGGGGATGTCCCATCTTTCCCTTGCAGCCCAGTTTCTCGGGAGCCTTTCTAGGGCCCTTGGTCATAGAGGATAGGGGTCCCAGTCCCTTGTCACTCAGCCTGCATTCCAATACCAGAGCCCCCGTCAGGTTGGCGCCATGGTGTCGTGGTGGGGCAGTTTGTTAATGTACAACCACGGGCATGTAGTAGATGCTCAATAAATTCCTGTCCTTCCTTCTATGGAGACAGATAGGAAGTTAGGTAGGCAGCAGATGAACAGATGGACATGGATGGGGACGCTTCTTTATTGTTACCTACAAGCTTGTGTCCCAGCAATCCTCTTGTTAATTCAGAATAGCGTAAATAGAAATGGAAGTCGGTTCCAATCTGAGGCACACCTAAGCTCAGCCTGGTGGCTTCTGTGGTGTGCTGGCATCCCTCTGGTGATTGCAGGTTGACCAGGAGCCATGGACCACTGCCACTGGTCAGCATCAGGACAGGGCTGTGCATATCACTTAGCTGGGAAGAGAGCCCAAACTGCCACAGAGCTTCTGCTGAGCAACTCTGCCCTCACTCTGTTCTGGAGTTGAACACTCCCAAGGTGGGCCCTGGCCGCAGACAGAGGGACAGACCCATGGCAGGCTCTGCTTCAGTCTTTGGCTCACTGATGTGGGGGAGAACTCTGGACTCAGAGCCAGTGTGGGAGAAGCTAGCAGTCTGGATGGTCACGTGGCCTCTCCCCGATGTTGTGTGGACTCGGATTGTAATGTGCATGTCATTTAAGGCAGACAGAGCACCTTGTCCACCAGCACTCAGTCCTCGTCCAGGGCGACCTGGCCAGCAAAGAGATCCGGAGGAGTCGATCAGGGCTCGTTGCCTATGTGCAGACCAGTGGTGACTTTCCTGGGACCACACTAAGGCATGAGTAAGAAACACAGAGGTTGTGAGTAAGAAATGGGGTTCACACTGAGGCCGTGAGTAAGAAACAGGATTCACACTGAGGCTGTGAGTAAGAAAGAGCTTTGACGATCTCTGGGAAGGCACCTTCACCTTGTGTGTGTGAGCACCTTTCCTCCAGGGTAGCGGGAAGGGCTAGAAGAGCTGGCCTCCCGTGCAGAGCATTCCGCATCCCTAACACTGACTCTATGTTCCCCACAGTCTCCATCTGCTGCTGCCTCTTCATCCTCTTCCTCTTCCTGTCAGAGTTTACCGGATTCATCACGACAGAAGTGTAAGTCATTTTTTCCCTGGGGCAACTGGCTTTCTGGGGTCCAGATGAGGAGAGGGAGGCGTATTTTGGAAAGGGATGGAAGCCTTGCAACTGGCTTGTGTCTATTTCCAAGTATGTGACATCACAAAAGGGCTTTGAACTTGAAGTAAAACTGAGCCTCGCTTTGTCAGAGCCCTTTGTGTTCCTTTGGGCCCGGGGTCTCCAGGGCCACGGACAGAGCAAAATCACTCACTAATCATCACTGGCCCCGAGTTTGGCCGGTGGGTTTTCCGTGAGCCCTTTGATGTTGTAGCTGGAAGTACTCAGAAGGCAAAGTGGCCCTCTTGGAAGCCCCTCTCATTTCTCAGGCCCACGCTCAGAAGTCAGAATGGATTTCCCAGCAGCTGACACCACAGTCATCCATCTCTGATTCCAGAATTCACTGTCATCCACAGCCTGGTAACCCTCCTGCCTTGGGCCCCGGCCTCAGGCTTCAAAGCATCTTTGTTGCCGTGTTTACAACTTGCAGAATTGTCATGGGGCTGGGCCCTGGCACCCCCTTCTCCTGTCCAGCCTTGGAATTTTCTTTTTCTTCTCATGGAATGTCTTGGTTTCCTTCACTCTCTTCTCAGCTACGAGACAATAGAAAGCTAAAACCAGGCACCGTGTCTGCAGCTGGCTGTTACTATCTTTGTTCCCAAACAGTCCGTTTTATGTGGGAAGTGAGGGCTATGAGAGGTGGAGGTACTTGCCCACACTGGTGAAGTGAGGTAGCCCCTGAGTCCTAGTCCTGAGAAGCTGGTTACACGGCCTCTTAGCTCACATCAGATATGGCTTCCCACCTGCCACTGGTGTTGGGAGCATCTGCCTCCCCGTCACTCTGTCCCTGTTTTTAACCTGGAAAGCTTAATGGGCCTGGTTGAGAGAGCACCAGATAAGACACGAAGAGACCCAGAATCAGGATACTGCGTTAGTGTGTGACCCAAATTACCGAACCTCTCTGAGTCCAGTGAGTAAGATCAGACTCAGATTTCACTTCCAGCTCTGGAAAAGTTTTGTCTGCTTTCCATGACCACAAACCAAGTAGAGGGTCATCAGAAGGGTCCGTTCCCACAGTCCCCGACAGGGACCGACCGTGACCGTGGGAAGCATCTTCTTTGTGTTATCCGGGTTACTGTGTATTCCGGGGCTTACTCTCCTGTGAGCTAGAGATGGGAGCAAGGGGGAAATGAGAGCCGGAGACAGGCTGGCAGTGTGCCAGGCAGGTGTCTGCTGGCCTCTGCAGGCTCTGCTCTCCTCTAGGGTGGAGTCCACTCTGCCGACCGGTGTGTTCTGAGTAGGTGGCGGCAGTGCACCTGTGAGAGCAGCAAGGTGCAGGTGTGCATGCAGGTGGCTTCAGGGTTGTGGACAGAGCAGCAGCAGGTGCCGAGGCCCAGAGGCAGGAACGGTTTGGGGTTTGTGGAGAATAGGGCAGGCTGAGCCACAGCCAAATAATTGCTAGTCAACAGCGTTTGGGCTTTGACTCTTAAAGCTGCTGTCTCGCTGCATCCATGCCTGCTGGCTGTGGGCTAGACTGCAGTTGTTCCCCTCCCCCACTTTGTCCTTGGGAGTTTGTTTCTGGGACCCTCACCCCAGTAGCTGATTTGCATAAAATCTGCATATTATTTGCATTAAAGCTACCTATAATCCCCCTTTGAACGTTTTCTTCTATGAAGATTTTTTTTTATTTTTTTATACGTGTGAATGTTTGCCTGCATGTATGTCTGTGCACGGTGTTCATACATGGTGCCATTGGGGGCTAGAAGAGGGCATTGGATCCCTTGGAACTAGAGTTACAGAGGGTTTCGAGCCACCATGGGATGCTGGGAACTGAATCTGGGTCCTTTGCTCGGGTAGCCAGTACTCTTAAATGCTGAATCATCTCTCTAGCCCCTTGCTTTTATTTTATCTTTTGTTTGTTTCATTGTTTTATGTTGTTTTGTTTTCTGAGACAGGACCTTACAGGGTCTTACTGTGTAGCCCAGGCTGTCTTCCTGAGTGCTGGGGTCACAGTTGTTTGTCACTTTGCCCAGTCTTCTTGTCTACTTTATTTGTTTGTTTGTTTTTGTTTTTTTTTTAAGACTGAATTTCTCTGTGTAGCTTTTGTAAACCAGGCTGGCCTTGAACTCCCAAACATCCACCTGCCTCTGCCTCCTAGAGTGCTGTGTGTGCCACAGCAGCCTGCTCTTCTTGTCTACTTTAAACTGTTACTTATATATTACTTGAACATATAATATAAATGCTATGCAAACCACAAGGGAGTAGTGGCAAGTGCTCTGAGCAAACAGTGATACAGGGTGGAGCTAGATAGTGAGGGGCAGGATGGGGTTAGGACAGATGATGGACGTGCTGTTTTCTGAAGATGGAACAAGGTGACCTAGCTAAAGGATACTTAATCTGAGACCTGTGGACTTTGTTATTAGTCAGACCTGGTCTTTTGGTGCCTCTGTGCTCTCCATAACACTTGAGGAAGACTTAGTCAGCTCAGCCCAGTGAGGGTGTGCCTGTGGCACCGAGGCATGGCCACATACAAGTGACTTTTGATGTCAGAGCTTGGGCCTGCGGAGGCTGTGTAGCAGGCTGGGCCACTCAAGCAAGCCCTGACAGTGGACTTTGCCCACTGTTTACCAAGGGCAGGGCTGTCCGTGTCAGGGCACAGTGTGTTCCCATGCCATCCCCTCCCCTGTTCAGGGATTTCCTCTTCCTGCCTCCTGGATGCTGTGGTCCCAGGAGGAAGGAAAAGGGCTGAGGAGGCTTGAGTCTGGCATGCTGGCTGTTCCCTGCTGTCGGTGGGAGCCTAACATCCCCCACCCCGCCCCCGTGCTTCTTTACCAGGGTACAGACTTATTGGGGATCCAGGCAGGCAAAAGCAAGTTCATTCTCTTTTGGGGAAGCCACTGGTTCTGTCTGATGGCTATATGAGCATACTGGGTCAGCGGATCCCTCTTGCCATGAGAATGTCTATAACCGAAGGAAATGAGATCACCACTGGCTGGGTCAACACCACAGCACTGGCCCATGGCTGCCAGAGATGTGAGGTGCTCAGGGAGGATGGTTTGTTTGGGTGCTTGACTTTCAACTTGAGCTTTGGCCAGGGAAATTGACAATGAGGGAAAAGTCAGTGTCCCATGGGATGTTCAGAGGTACCGGCCTCTCAGAAAGCAGACAGTTTCAGCCCTGACCGCTGAACTCCTGCAGACTTTAACAGTTATTTACCTGGTAGGGAGTTGTGATAATAGAATGCAGTTGCTCAGAGCCTCCACTAGTTTTTAACATAATATATCTTAAGGTGCTTTCTAGGAAGTCATTCATGCTAGTCTCATATGCCCAGGTTTAGTGTCTTACAGTGACTGCCTCAAAAATTGTCACAACATCCTTTGAAGTTTCTGGGAGAAACCAAGGCACCAAAACCCATAAGGTTAGTAAAAGGTAGAAGCAGAGTTTAAGCCCAGGACTTGTGGACACCGAAAGCTCGGGCACCCCACCCCGTCATCCCACCCATCTCTGTAGGGCATGTCTTAGAGCCTCAAGTGCTTGTGAAAGCCATGGCTTTTTGGACAAAATTCTAGATTGTTAGGGCCAGAAGCTTCAGCGGGCAGAAGTGTGTGCTTCTGCAACCCTAATGACCCAAGTTGGGGCCCTAGAACCTGTTCCATTCCACAGCCTTGTCCCCTGACCTCCATATGTATACTCACACACACACATCATACACACACACACACACACACACACACACACACACACACACACAATAATGGTAATAAAGTAAAATTAAGTTTAAAACCTACTAATTGGAAGACTTAAGGCTCCCCTGGAGAGTTAGGTAGCAAACTGGAAGAGGCCACTCCAGGAAGCAGGAGCTTAGAGGTTACCAGGCTGCGTGCTAACATGTCCCTACATTGGGCCAAAATTGGGAGACTAGGAGCTTAGCCAAGGGGAGGGGAGGGGAGCTCCCTCCCGCCCAGCACCCCTAAACTAAGTCTCGAGTGTGGCCAGGACTGGTGGAAGTAAGACTTCATGGAGAGTACCCAGGCTTCACCTTTTGCCATGGGAGGCTTGAAAGCTCTCTGAGCACACGGTGACAGAGTCAGTGTTCCAAAAGATCATCCCAGAAATGTTGGTCTGGGGAAGAGTGACCGTGAGCTGCAGGCCCTGGGAAGGAGTGGGCTGATTGCCAGGGGAAAGAGAGAGGGCTGCTGGGCAGCTGGCTGTGGTGGGCATCCATCCGGCAGGCAGTAGCTGTGTTTTCACTATAAAACTCAGGGTTTAAAAGCCAAGGTTCCTGAGGCTTCCTGGTCAACCTCCCTCCCCCACCTCCCTCCTGCTCCCCCCAGTTACTGCGGCCTCCCTGCTTCATGGAAGTTTCCATTTGATCAGATAGTTAAGCATGGAGGCCAGCAACCTTGGGCAGGAATCTGAGCTATTCAAGTACTCTTCTAAAAGCAAATAAAATTGTTTTGCATAGATGTCATCAGACTCACACCTCAGCCTAGAATCTCAAGGCCTTCAGCTAGCTACATTCCACCTACATCCCCCACTAGTACCTCCCAATCCTTTCATCTTCTCTCCCTACAAGGGCAGTTCTCACCCACCGCCGCCCCATGCACTCAGGCCATGCGGTGCCGCACTGGCTGGTGTCCCCACCTGGAATATACCCCCCCCAACTCCTCCATCAGCACACACCTTTCTGCTTCCTAGGACTTCTGAGAACCTGTACCCACACTCTCAAGTTTGTGTTCAGTCCACCGAAGACACTCAGGAGTTCTCATTCTGGTGGGGATGTGGCAGGAGGAGGTAATTAATACAGGAAGGTTTGTGGAGCAGAAAGCCATTGGACCTAGGGGCATCTATGTCTCGTAAGCCCTGAGGGCTAGGATGGTACAGCTGGAGAGTATCAGAAAAGACAGTGACACTTGCATCATGAGTCTCTCTGGGGGATGCCTTGCTCTCTGGGGGATGCCTTGCTCTCCAGGGATCTCTGTCCGCCAGACAGTGTAACCCAGTAGGAAAGGCAAGACTAATCCCTCAGTAGCGTCCTCCTCTTGCTCCTCTAGGCTGTGTGACCTCAGCCACTCATTTGTGCTGGTCACTGAAGACACAGTAATCCTACCCAGCACTGGCTTGCTGTGTTACAGGAGATGCCACATGCAAAAGCCAGTCCCCAGCCTGGCCTGGGGCTCAGTGCAGGGGCACCTTCTAGCTTTTAGTGGGGCAGGCCCGTGCCATGCCTCTCCCAGACGTAATGCACTTGATCTTCATGGAAGCACTTGGCCATGGAGTAGTGTCCCTGCTATTTTACACACACACACACACACACACACACACACACACACACACACACACACACACACACCTCTGGCCAGCCTGCAGCTTTAGCTTATCCTCTAGTTGCCCTGAGAGGTGAACTCTTGTTCCTTTCCTTTCTCCTTCTCTTCTTCATCCTTTCCACCTCATTGGTCTCTTTTCAGTGAGGAGGCATGTACGACTTACAGCAGATGCACAAGTCCAAAAGTCTGGGTCAGTGAATCTTACCCTCCTACCCATCATCTCAGTTGAACTGTGATGCATTTCTGCTATGTAGAAGGTTCCTTTGCCACCCCCAAGCCCCTCCTACCACCATTCTTCAGACTTCTCTTGTTGTAGCTTAAGTCCCATCATTTGAACTTCACCCAGGATGTCTTCAGCTACTCTGAAACTGGGGCTCAGAGAAATGAAGCACCCCGTCCCAGGTACCTCAGCTTATAAGTGACAAAGGCAGAAGAGAGCCCACAGGCCTGCTCACCTCCTGAGCTGGTTATGGGACACCAGGCCAGTAAGAATCCCTAAACCATAGTAGGGTGCCCACCGAGTGTTTCTTTTCTTTGAGGTGAGCTGATCCGTGGCAGCCCATCAGCCTTTGAGAGCCGGCTCAGCCACAGCCAGTCCTGGCAGCTCTGAACGGGTGGCTGTTGGTGAGGCCGCACCTGGGGTGGCAGGAAACTAGCTGGTCTGGAACATTTGCCTTGGACACAGAAGGCAGCCTTGCTGACCTCATCGGTAGGCGGTGCGGGCAATTGAACCATATACATCTTACAGCCAGGGGGAACAGCCAGTTCTGGTCTTACATAACCACCAGCCCAGATTGCCACAGGCCATGTATTTCTTCTCCCTTCGGGCACCTCAGCCCCTTTGTGCCGGGTGGCCCTTCAGCCCTGGCAGCTGACCACTCCAGTTCTTCTGGCTAGGAGACAGGGATCCATGCCTGGGAGAAGCCTCCCCAGGGGCAATGAGCTCACCTGAGCCACACCTGAGATTTGCCTCACTCTGCTGAGGTCATCTCCCAGGATTGCCAGGGAATGACCTCATCCCATAATCCCTCAGCAATTCGAGGAGGTCTAGGTTTACCAGCTGGGAAAAGTGAGCGCTGATGGAAGAGTCTCTCTGGGAAGGAAAGCCCTGTCCCTTGGCCACTGTTGAGTTAAGCACACAGTAATTTCCTCACTAGCGTGACAGTCCTTTGGAATTAAAACTATGGTAGAAACAGGTGCTAAAGTCACAAGGGCAGAATCTCGCTGGGCAGAAGAGGATCCTCCTGACTTGAGTCTCCCGTGGCCTGTTCGGCCCTTTCCCACTGCTGGTTCTGTTCAATACCTGCCAGTACACTGAGCTTTGTCTGTCCCTTCCCATATCCCTTACCCTGTCCTTGACACTAGATAATAAGGAGCCAAAGAGGAAGCTCTATAGCCCTGGAAAACTTGGGGCTTGAGATTCTAGCTCGGTTGTTTTCTGCTGTGTGCTCTTGGGATAGAACACCTCTCCTCTGAACCGTGGTTTCCTGGTTTTAAAATGGGAACAAGGACTTCGAACAGAGGAAAACAGGATGACACGGATGCGTATATTTGACTTTCATGGTTAGGGACATCCCTCTCCTCCGTTGCCTAGCTTAATTCTCTAGGTGTTCAGCACCCTGGAAAGTAAGTTTATCTGTGGCTTTCATGTCCCCAGGAATGTATTTGTGGCTCCCACAAAGAAACAAAGTGTGGCTGTGTTCCTGAGCCACCGTTCTCTTGTACAACCTCTGCTTGTACAACCTGTGAGCAGGACCCAAGGGATCTCACTTCTGTGGGCTATCTTAAGTGTTTGTTTTATTGCTTTGTTTAAAGATAATTTTTGTCAATTTAAAGTGTGTGTGTGTGTGTGTGTGTCTATTTATGAATATTCGCATGTGAATGCAGGTACTTGTGGAGGCCAGAAGAGGGCATTGGTTGCTGTAGAGCTGGAGTTGCAAACATTGTGAGCTGCCTAATATGGGTGCTGGGAATCAAACCTGGGTCCCTGAGAGAGCAATAAGTGAGCCGTCTCTTCAGCCCCATTTATTTTATTTTTAACTGACAAAATGGGGCACAAGGTGATATTTTGATAGATTGTCAGAATACTAGTTCATCTAGTTCATATGGCCATCACCTTAAATGTTTATACTTTTCATGAGAGAGGTTTAAAATCTCTTTTAGCTTATTTGAAGTAGCAGTGTGTTGTTGTTGTTCCTGTAGTCGCCGTGCCTGGGCAGTCGGACAGCAGGGCTTCTGTCATCTGTAACTTCCTGTCTGTTGGCCAGCATCCCTGGCCCATCCATGAGCTTTTAGCACAGCCCAATCCATCTACTCCAACACTGCTCAGCCGAGCATCCTTTGAGGCCAGGCCTGGAGATGGGCTTCCTCTTCCCCATGAGGAACTATCTGGGCAGCTAGCCTCTAAACTTGGCCCCTCTCCCTCCTTACAGCTTCTGCTGCACTCTCCAGGGCCCCTGGCTTGGTGAGGAAGGAAAGATCTGGAACCATCCACTTACATGCCTCCCTTGGCCAATCCCCTAGTGTGTCATCAGCATGCCCCACCTGCTCCCAGCAGCCGTAGGTTCTGGACCACTGTGGTCACCTACCATCTGGTCTCCTTGGCACATGGTGGCTCCTCCAGGCCTCCAGCCTGCTGAGGCACAAGCTTGCCTGTGTGGCTGTGCTCAGTGTTAAATCGGCTGCCTGAGCTGTGTCACAGTACCACACTTCTTTGGCTCTCACACTGCATCTGCCATGACCCTCCTTCAGTCCCTCTGTCAGCCCAGGTTTTGGCACCTGCTGTGGGGTCCTCCCTTCTCCTGCTGAGACCATGCGTTTTCATCGTCTTAGAGACTCCCAGGCCTCCTTGTGGCACTTATTTAGGATTTGAGCGAGTCTGGTTCTGCCTATGACCAGGCTGTATCTGGCTCGACGCGGTTTCTCGCACCTGACAGGCAGTAGATGCGCCCACTCTGTTGGTGAATGGGTGCCGCTGCTGTCCTGGCCTTGAGGCAGTGAGGCCGTCTGGGGCCACCTGCCCTGTAACTCTGGTGATAGAATACTGATCTCATTGCTTGCCCCTAAAGCCTACGGTGGTGCTGCCCTACATGCCACGTGGAACATGACAGATGTGGTCACGTGAAGGATGGGAATGGCTAGGTTAGCCAGACAGGCTACATGGCCTATATGAGGGTGTAGGAGGGAGAGAGGAGGGACAGTGCTGTGCAAGTATGTGGTAAGCTTTGGTTAAGCCTTTGGCTTCCTAGGAATCCAGTACAGCCGTCTGGCCTTGTTGGAGACCTGGACTCCCCCCCCCCACCCCGTGACTTTATAAGGAGGAGCCTCAAAAGAGCAGGCAGCGGGTGCTGTGTGCCTGTTGGTGCCAGGCCTGGAGCCATGCAAGACCCTATTCCTCATTTTATTGTCTAGTAGTGTTTTTTGTTTGTTTGTTTTTTGAGATTTATTTTTTTATCACATATGCAGTGTTCTGCCTGCATACCAGCAGAGGGTACCAGATCTCATTATAGATGGTTGTGAACCACCATGTGGTTGCTAGGAATTGAACTCAGAATCTTTGGAAGAGCAGCCAGTGCTCTTTACCTCTGAGCTGTCTCTCCAGCCCCAGTCTAGTAGTGTTAATCCCCTTTCAGCTGATGGGTTTATGAAAGTGCTGGAGGCAGGATTTGAACTTGAATCTGGACAGATGTTCTTACCAGACACCTCCTTCTTCTCAGTAACTGCTCTCCCTCCTGGTAAAGCCGTGCTGGAGTGTTCTAGCTCTTGGGACCGGGACATGTGCACGCTCTTGTCCCCACGTGGGTATCTGGATCATTGAGCACTGGCCACCAAGTGAGGTGGCCCCTGGCTGCCCATCCCCTTTGGGCAGGGTTAGTGTCTGTGTCTCAGTCTAGGTTTCTGTGCTTATCTGTCCCTCAGGGTGAATGAGCTCTACGTCGATGACCCAGACAAGGACAGCGGAGGCAAGATTGACGTCAGCCTCAACATCAGTTTACCCAATTTGCACTGTGAATGTGAGTATTCCGAACAGCCCTCTGTTGCAGCCAGCCAGCCTGCAGGTGATCTGTGTCCAGACACGGTGAGCTGCCTGGGGCGAGCTAAACATATGCCACCAGCTGAAAGGCACATGTGGCCTGTGACAGCCCCACTTTTTTTTTTTTTTTGAGGTAAATATAATTAAACATGTACTGGGAGGTCTTCGGGGATCAACGACATCTCATGTACCTCTGCAGAGCAACCATAAGTGCTCTGGCACAGGTGGCAGAGTCTGTCTGGTTGGTTAAGCCTAAGATCCTTGAGCAGGTGGCTTGTGGAGAGCAGATGGGACTAGGCCAGGGAAGAGGATGAGCCCAGATGTGTATGCAAGCTGAGGCCTGGTCTGAGGCTGACCTTCCCACATGCTCAGGAGTATGGTAACACCATAAAGCTGCCTCATCTGGCAGCACTGGGGCCAAGGCTGTTATTCTCCCTGTCAGTGGCTGGTGGCCACAGGACGGTTCCTATGGGAGTTGCATGACCTCTGGAACAGTTATGATGAGACGCCAGTTGTACAAGCCCTGGCCTGCACAGTCCACAGCTGCAAAGCCCCGAGGCACACTGTCAGCGAGAGGATTCCCTGGCATCTTCCTTTTTAACCACAGATCCCTTTTGTTTACTATTTTAATCAAGATAGAATTGTTTTGTTTTGTTTTTTATAACAACAGAATGAAAGCACAGCCAGACTTTTGGCTACTTTACCGGGTTCTTTTTCCTACCTTGCTACATCACCCCTTTCCCTTTCAACTCCCAACACTAGGCGGGAGAGAAAGAAGGATAGAGTGGAAAGAGGGTGTTATTATCGTTAGACTACTTCCTGCTGACTAGGGGCATTGAGTTCCTTGGGACAAGTTTGATCTTCGATGTCGGGATATCTCCAACAAGCAACGCAGCAGCCAGCAAGAGCAGCAGGAGCAAACAACAGACACGCCCTTGGAGCTCTGACATTTATCTCCTTTCTCAAGAGTCCCCAGAATTCTAAACATAAACTATCCTCAGCTGGCAAAATCAAGCTCCTGCTAGAGCACGAGGCAACTCATAGTCAGCTGCTGTGGACACTCTGAAGCAGCCCCACGTCCCAGACCTGGGCTTAAAACAAAAACGTATTCACACTAACATTTCTGTGGTTTTGTTTTGTTTTAATTTTCGATACCAAAGTCTGATTTGGAGGCCGACCCCGCCTCCTTTGCTCAGATGAACCTTGGCTGTGGTCATCTCAGCATCCCCTTTGGCACAGAGGGCTTAGTAACCATTACCAGAGGTTCCAATGAGATGGTACTAACCATACTGGCGATGAGTTATCGCCTTCATAATGATGGTTCAAGCCATCCCTCAGCTCCACTGGCTCTGCAGCCTAATGTAGCATGTTCAGCCTCCTCTCACCCCTCCCTTCCGATCACAGGATCTGGCTTAGGAGCACAGCCCGCAAGGACAGAACATTGGGTGGGCCCAGACAGACAGGGAGACATTCAGCTGTGTTCCTGCTTCTGGTGAGAGTGACATCACAGTTTTGAGCCCACATTGGGCCCAGGGCCAGGGAACCTGTTGAAATAGGTCACTTTTATTTATTTTTATGTTTTCATTTTTCTCTTTCTCTTCTTCTTAGGAAAATAGCTCATCTGGCAGCCTCTTCTTCAGGGGCTGGTTGTAGCTCAGAAGCAAGGAAATTCTTAGTCAGGCCAGAGGATTAGACAGGCAAGGGCTGGAAGGATGTGGCTGTAGGCTCCATCCCAGGCCCAGACAGCGTGACTTTGGACAAGACAGGTCCCATTCTGTGTGCTGTGCGCCCTGTGGGTGCTTCCAGCTCTGCAGGGCTATGTCTTGAACACGCTAGAGCCCAGCATGTCGGACTTTTCTTTCAAAGCTGACAGGACTGGGTGTAGCTTGGTGGTTTGTCCAGCATGCTCAGGACCCTGGGTTCCCACACTGCTGACACAAAAAGACTCTCAAAAATGTTAAACACAGAAATGCCCATTCATCTTTGCATCTCTGGAAAACCCAGAGAAACAGAGAGAGGAAATCACCCATAATTCCGCCACCCTGATGACAGGGTCTGTGGACATTCTGACATCAATCTGTCCCCTTGGCTTTTCTCCTGTGCATTCTGAACATGGCTGAGGTCATACTATAGGTACTGTCTCATATTCTGCTTTCAAAAAAATATATATATTCTTAGACTGGGGTGTAGGGTTAGAGTTAGGGCCTGGTGTGTTCAGGCCCTGGGTTCCATTCCCAGCACTGTAAATGTTTCATGACAATGACAGTATTCATTACATACCTAATAAAGGAGTTATTTTTCAAGGTACACCTTCAAATACAGAACTGTAGCCCAGCAGTAGCATGCTTATTTAGCATGAGTTGATCTTCGGTACACAGGGAAATATAGCTGGTATGTCTTTAAAAACACGGATGTACCACTTGTGATCCTTTCTGTTGTCCCTGTTTGTCATTGTCTCCGAAGCAGCCTGTGCTGACAGTGAAGACCTCTTTTTCTCTCTGTGTTTGTATCCGTAAACATAGTCACTCTGTACCTGCAGTTTCGTACTCACAGATTAAACAGCCACAGGACAAAAAAAAATTCAGAGAAGAAGATAACATTGCCTCTGACCGAACATGCACAGACTTCTTTCCTTGTACTTACTTCCTAAACAACGTGGCACTGGAAATCACTGTGTTGTCATTTTGTTAGTGTAAAATGCCAGAGAGCACCAGCATATGAAGAGAAAGGTCTACGTGGGCCCAGGGTTGCGAGTTTCAGTCTGTGATCAGCCGGCCCATTGTTGTATATGGTGATGGGGGTGTGGAGTAGACAGATCTGTTCCCCTCAAGTCAGAGAAGCAGAGGAAAGAGGACAAAGGGCAGTAAGTTTACTCTCCCCGTTCAGGGGCACACCCTGATAACAGTAAGGACCTCCCGCTAGACCACCTAAAGGTTCACTACCGTCCTGAGGCACCACAGGCTGAGGTCCAACGCCCCATTACATGGACCTCCGGGGGAACTGCAGTCCCAACGATGGCAACTATTTACATGGCACTTGCATTGCGCTTGGGCCATGTGGGTAACCCAGAGGACGCTATGTCTGGAATGCAAATACCCATCCATTTTACGGATGGAACGTAAGCATCCCAAGACTTTGGTACCCGAGGAGTCCTGCGTATACAGCTGTGTATCCTGTTGGCTTTCTATTTTCTTCTCAGATAACTAGACCTCTACGTGTCAGAGGATTTTTGTGAAATTTCTCCCCCAACATCCAGCTTTCCTTAAATTACTTACACTCTTAGTGGAGCTAATAACCGGCTATTTCCCCAGCCAGGCCTACGGGGAATCATTTGCCTGTGTTAGGATATTGAGACTGGCTGGGTTCCAGCAGACTGCCTTTGGATAAGCCCAGAACCCAGAACAAGACACTCTGACTCCTGGGCAAGCTCTGTTGCTTCTCAGTTGTGAGCTCTTTGTACCTCAGTTTCCCCTGATGTTGGCCAGGGAGTGATATCATCATCTGCCCCACAGGAAATGTCCAGGTACTGTGTTCTTACACAACTCTCTTCAGCCGAGGGTTCAGCACACAGTAAGTACTGTTCAGGTTTCCCACATCTTCTCAGCGAGCTTGTGACAGAAGAAGCTGAGCCACAGGTAGGTTAGGTAGCTTGCCTCTGGACCAAGGGTCAGCCTCTCCACTCCTGCCAGGTAGTGTGTTCTCTGTGCTCTGTCTCACATCGCAGAGGAGACCCGATCTGATCTGCCAGCCACCATCATTTTGACAGGCACTCGAGTGGTTCCTAACTGTCACAGTTTCCAACAAGGCCGGCTGGAGTGGCCTTTTGCACACATCCAAGCATGAGTGACTCTGCAAGCTGGCCTCAAGTGGAACTGTTGAGTCAGGCAGGGGTTGCTTGCGTTTCTTTAGCTTTCTCGTTACAGGCCAGTGGCATCATCCATGATGGCCATGTCACATGTCCTTCCACACTGGCTGGCACATACTTCCCTACACCCACTGAGGGACATGTTCGTTCCCATTTTCCATTTATGTCTGGTTGTCTTTAAAAGAGCTGTTCTTTCTCTGTATCAAGTCCCCTCTGGCTTCCCTGCCAGGAAGCTTGCTACATTCTTATGGTGGATAAGACCATTCCACCCTGGGACCATCTCACGGACCACAGTAGCGCAGCCTGCTCATCGTCACAATGCAGAAGCTGAGCCACAGTAAGGCTGCAGCGCCATTTTGGAGTCAGGACTGGCATTGGGTGCTGCATTCCTCCCGTGTGTGAGCTAACAGACCTCCTAAAAGGGCCAGTGCTCCTGAAGGCTGCAGCCTGACTAGCCCATGATGGCGTCCCGTGCTTAGGCTGGTTCATGGGACTCAGTAGTTAGTAGATACTGAGTAAAGGAAGGTGTGAATGAAAGAGAGATGATAAAGAACAAATGAATGCCTGAACCTCTTCACCCAGTGACCCCAGACTCTGAAGCGCTAAGAGTACCAGCGCTGCTGAAACACTTGCCACATGCTACGCGTCAGACCCTGTGCTGGGCATTTGCCCTACCTCCTAACCCTGATCCACATACTCTTCCGCCAAAAGTCCAATGTTCATCACCTCATCCTTCAGAAAAGTAAACTGAGGCATTGAGGTTAGTGATACCTGAGCCTCAGTCACCTTGCTGAGAGGCACAGTCCAGATCCAGGTGACCAAAGAGGCGGACCCCCATGGTCCCTCTTACCCCACTGCCTTCCTTTGGCCTTGCATATAGCTGAGCCACCCTGGACCCTGCATCCTTGGCTGGTCTAGTACCTGCTTCTTCCTAGCTCTTCCTCCATCTCCTCTAGCCTTAAGCAATGGTAGGGGGTACTGTGACTCTAGGGGTAGGTGGAACTATTTGGGGCACTGTAACTGGGAGGGTGTGGACTGTTTTAGGTGCTGTGATTCTGGGGAATGGGGCTGTTTTGGGTGCTGCGACCCTGAGCGGGGACTGCTGTTTGGGGTGCTATGGCTCTTAGCCAAGCAGCCCTTCCTCCTCTGCTGACTGACTCTGTGTAGCTTGGGTTTCCTAGGCATCTTGTTCATGGAAGGCTAAATGGGGTTTCTGTAGAAGCAGGCTGATCCCCACTCTGCTTGGCTGTGGGTGACTGCTCTCTTTGGCCCCCACAGTGGTCGGGCTTGACATTCAAGATGAGATGGGGAGGCACGAAGTGGGCCACATTGACAACTCCATGAAGATCCCACTGAACAATGGAGCCGGCTGCCGCTTCGAGGGCCAGTTCAGCATCAACAAGGTACGGAGGCGTTGCCTGGGCCCTTTTCCCTCTCCCTGCCCACTTGACCCCAACAGAACCCCTATCAAGCTGAGAATCAGCACATGGCTGGGAAGGTTCTGGACTCCCTGAGATTTCATGCCTCTGATGGTGGGTTCAGAAAGGGCTGCTCCTTGCTAGAGTGAAAATGAGAACACAAGGCTCCCAGTCCCAGTTCCTCCTCCTCTCCAGCAAGCAGTGGCCCACAGGACACCTGAGGTTACAGCCATGATGGTAATAATGCCACAGCAGCATCACCTATACCACAAAGCTCATGTGCAGTAAATGAGTTCATTCCAGGTCTGTAATGTGCACATTGTATCAGAGATGGATATTGTTGGATATAAGCAAGTGCGAACAGGTGAGTGGGGTTCCAAGGCGGGATGGAGATGGACAGTCAGACCATGTCCATCTGTGTCTTACATCTCATCGGCTCAGTGTAGATAGTCCCCTTGTGAGCTACATGGGGATGGAGTGGAGGAGGCCAGGAGCTGAAGTGGGAAAGGATTCAGAATCAACAGGACTTAGCTGTGAATTGGGAGTGGCAGGTAGAGCAGCCACACACTCAAAGACCCTGTTATATTCCTGCTTCCACAGCTGGTTTGCAACAGTGGAAGTTTGGGAAGGAGGGGCTCTGTGGGAGAGGACTGGGACTCGGTCCTTTAATTCTGGTACATTCGATTCCCAGAAGTGTTTTAAGCTGCGATTTGGAGATGTGTTTTTTTGGGGTTGAAGAGAGAGTTTTGGGCAACAGGCCTTCCTGTAGGAGTCAGCAAGCAACAGTGATGTGGGAAGTCATAGGTTTAGTTTGGGGCCACTCCGAGTGGGGACCCCTAGCAGAATTGCCTTGTGATTACCAGGAAGGCATAACCTGGGGCTCCACCTCCAGCCTCCTGAAGCCCTCTCAAGACTCCAGACACCAAACTCTAAGGATCCCAAGGTCTCCTAGGGAGAAGGTGAGAGCCTTGTTGTAAACGTGGGGTCCTCTAACCCCCTGAAACTGTACAGATTTAGCTGTAAACACCCCAAAGAATGTGGATTAAGTTCCATCTTTTTTTTTTTTTTTAACTAGGCTCTAACTCTAATTTAGCATCTCCTACAGCAGTTAATGCAATCAAAAAACCAAAGCAGCGTTAGCCACACCAGTGACTTTGTTCCTGGAAGCTGCTGCTGTTCATACCACATCACAGTTGTAAAGAATTTCTGTACACACATCGCCTCGCTGATGATGAAGCAGACGCTGTGGGGAACGGGCAATCCCCCTGTGGTAGGGCTGTGAGGAGGGTGTCTGAGATGGCGGTTGAAGACACTGGGCACGTGTGTACACACATGCACACTTCGAAGTTGTAAGGCATGGTCACCTTCGTTTGAACATGCACGCTCCTGACAACTCAGGTGGGACACCACCTGCGTCTTGGCGAACATGTCTTCTGCCCGCTTGGGTGGGCTGTGTTGTGGAGCCCCGCTGGCTCTGGGCGGACTAGAGCTTGTCCTTGTCAGACCAGCTTACGTTCAAAAGGCCGAGTCGGGTGTCCTGGCTAAGGGTTCTGAGGGTCTCAGTGCATCCAAATTCTGGTTCCCTCGTCTGTAAAGGGGAGGTGGTATTGTAAATACCGGCTTCATATGATCAAATCAAACACATAAAAGTGCATCATGAAGTGGTGACTGGACAGGCAAGGGCGCCCTCTCTTGCCCTGCCTCATAGCCCACCATTAGGCATTTGCCCTGCTCTTGTTAGCCTATGCTTGCCATCACTTTGGTGTGTGGCCAAAGTATGGCCCCCGCACGTGGACAGCAGACAGAAACCAAGAGGTGACCAGGGCATCTGTGGAAGGGCTCTCCAGCTCTTGGGCTGTGGCCACTATTCAGTGGATCCTTGCCTGGCCCTTAACTAGGTCTGAACCCAGGCGCGCTAGCTACTGGGCCCTGAGCCCTGCCTGTGGCTCGAGCTTTTCACATCTGTTTTACAAATATTATTGAGCAGAGTGGCCATGTTTTTCCAGGTGCAGCCTGGACTGCTGTCTGCTCAACCCTTTGGGGAATGCGGAGACCCTTCTGACAGCACCCACTCTGCATTGTTGGGGTCTTGAGCCTCTGAGGAGCTATCATTAAGACAGTGAGTGTGACAGCCTGCCATGAGCTCAAGGAGGGCAGCTGTCCCTCCCTGGTCTCCCGTCATCAGACACTGACTTGTACCACGGCCCCTTTATTTATCCCATCAGATGCCCTGGCAGCCCCCAGCAACCCAGACTGAGCCTGCCTAACTAATCATGGCTGCCCCTGAGAGGAAGGCAGAGGGGAGCAGGTGGAGTGGGGAGCTGACTGCAGCTATATATTTTTAAAATCCGTCAGAGACGCTGACGTAGCTGCCTAAGTCACAGGCTCTAAAAGCGTCACTCTCCGCTCCGTCGGCTCAGCGTGTGCCAGTGTGACTCAGATCCCTGTGATGGGTTTGGTGTGGCGTGGAGTGGGTTACTGAGTCACAGCCTCGAAGGGCTGGCAGCAGGTGGCAGGTACCCAGGAGCCAACCTTCTCCACTCTCAGCCCTGGGGACAGAGCCCCCAACCCCAAGGCTGTCTATGCCTGTGGCCTGGCCCATTGCCCAGAAAATCCAGCAGGATGTGTCCATCTCAGGACTTCTGATTGTATCCTGTAAAGGCCTTTTCTTCTTCGGCCCCCTCTGGTGCTGGAATGGATCCCAAGGCCTCGTGTATGTGAGGCAAGGCGCTCTTTCTGACGTAGGCACTACATCCCCACTGAGCTATGTCCTAGTCCTGTGCAGGTTTTGTAATGGAAATAAATCCAGGTACTACTTACACTGTGAAAGGAAGCATGAAATTGTTTTTAGAAGCAGTGGCTTTTCCTCACAGCCTGTTATTTGCTCATCCCAGGCCCCTTCTGTGTGAGTCCTGAAGCGTGCTCAGCCCACGTGCCTCTGCACCTCCTGTCATCCCAAAGACACCATCCCCATATTCTGGAGGAGAAACCTAGCCACAGAGTGACAGCTGGGCTTAAGCCCAAGTGCCAAGTGTGGAGAATCACTTTCGATGGGTCCCTGAGGCAGGCTGTGCTGATGGCTCTGCTCTCTCTAGACCTTCCTGAACTGGCAGTCATGTGCTGCCCCAGACTCCCTGGGCTGCACGTTCCTGCTGAAGACCCTCAGCCCAGTGCCTGAAACAGCACCCACAAAAAGCCCCTGAGGGGCAGTCACACTCCAGGCTGTAGCCATGTCCCTCCCTCCCCAGCAGTTGGAATAAGAATGACTCCCGGGGCTTTCCTGTCCCTCAGGCCTGCTTGTACTTGTCTCTGCCCCAAGGCCTTGAAATAAAGCTGAGGGTCCTCCCCTGCCTGAGCATAGATCTAAGGGAGGTGGGGAAAACTGAATGGACCAGCCTTCCAGGAAGAAGTGGCAGGTGCAGAGAGCCCTCCGTGGGGTTGTGCAGGACACTGTTCCCAGTGGTGCAGGGAGGCCAGTGAGGCTGAGGGGTGAGTAGAGCAGAGAGTGGTGTTGAGCCATAGGGAGTAGGACCGAGTGTGTACCCAGCTGGCCAGAGTACACTGAAGGAGCATGTGGGCTCAGCCGGGTCACTCAGTTTTTCCATTGCCGTAGTGAAATACTGAGGCGATAATGAGTAAAGATTTATTAGTTCTCGAGGCTGAAAGTCCAGGATCAGGTGCCCATCATTTGGGCTCTGAGGACCTCTAAGTGGATGATGTCACAGTGGTGGATACGTGAGGGAAAGGATCGTAAAGGAAGGATGGCGTTGTTGGAACAAGAAGCCAGAGAGAGGACAGGCCAGCCTTGCTCTCTCAAAAACCAACCTAGGCCCCACGGGAACCGCATCGATCCCTTCTGAGATCAGTGTCCCTCGGTGACCTAAGGCTCACCACCCCCAGCTAGAGGTCCTGCCACAGTGAGGGCCACAACACCAGCGCATGAACCCTTGTATGCTATACCACCTTCAAAGAGCAGACTGACGGCCACAAGCCTTAGCAGGCTTAAGGCTGAGGCGTGGCAGGATCCAAGATAGGATTTAACACCCATTCTCTCCCAGCCCTGGGGAAGGGTCTGTATGGGGAGCAGCAAGGGTGAGCAGACACGTCTGCCGGGGTAGAAGCTCCTCAGATCCTCTGCAGAGACCTTGGGTAGGGAAGGTGGTGGCGCGCAAGGCCACCATAGTAAGTCTGTCTGTGGTGATGAGGCCAACTTGAGCAGGTATGAGCTTGGTTTAGAGCTCAGGGAAGTCATTTTGGTCTGCTGGCTCAAAGGGCACCCCCACTCACTGTCGAGCCAGCAGCCTTGAATCCACAGAGATGGGCGGAGACTGCTGTTGTTTGGAGTCCGGACACATCCGGGCTCTGTGTCAGGTGTCCACATGGGCACCTCGCGTGCACTCTTGACAACCCTGGGTTGTCCCAGATCCCTCTTCCGGTAGTTTCTGCAAGTGTACCAACCTTCTTCAAAGTCATACAGTGAGAAACGCTGCAAGCTAGAGTCCCAGTTCCAGCGTGTGTCCCACGCCAATGCCCCAGGCTGTGCACAGAACGTACAGCCCTTGCAATCAACCCCCTCGGTCAGCCACCGAGATCCCTGAAACCTCCCTTTCTCCCTCCAGGTTCCCGGCAACTTCCACGTGTCCACACACAGTGCCACAGCCCAGCCTCAGAACCCGGACATGACACATATCATCCATAAGCTCTCCTTCGGGGATACGCTACAGGTGAGCGGGGGTTGGGGGGGAGAGGGGGTGTGGGCACAGGGGGACATGGCTATGGCGCTCCCCCCTAAGTGTCACCCACATGGGGTTCTGTCTCACTCGACTCCTCTTTGTCACGTCTTCTGAGGATGTGGCTACGGTGTCACATGCTGCATAGCAGACTTAGATGCTCAGGCTGGGACCTGGGCCTGGGAGGGAGGGGAACTCCAGTTGGGCTCACTCCCCTCATAGCTGTCTCCGTCTGTTTTCTGTTGCTCTCACTGAGCAGCACAGGCTGGGTGGTATTTAATGAGCAGAAGTTTATTTGGTTCACAGCTCCAGAGGCTCAGAAGTAAAAGCCAGCATGGTACTATGGGGAGAGCCCCCCCTCCTGTCGCACCACACATGGCCAGGCTCACGATGGGCAGTGTTGACCCAAGGCCGGGACAAGGCAGCCCCGGACACATTACCCTCTCCTGCCACACCCAAGCCTTCATTTTTATATTAACGGGCCCTCAAGCTGACTTTTAGAAAAACTAATCAGCATTTATCCGTGACCCCAGAATGACACGTGTAGACACGAAATGCCAAAGGACTGAGTCACCCATGAGGGCTCCTCTCTCTGTTGGCTGAAGGAGGGAGCGGGAAACTGGGTTTGTGCGAGGAGGGCCTGTGCTAGGGTGATGAAGGGGTGCTGAGGGAGTGACGCCACGGCCTCACCAAACATAACATGTGTTATGAGAGGAAGGATCCATGAAGCAAGGCTGTAGGCAAGGAGGTGAGAATTGGGATTGCATGCTGGCTCGGAACCAGAGCAGCCCCCCCCTCCACTCCGCATGAGTATACAGAGGTTTTTTCTTAGTTTGGAGCCAATCCATGTCAATCTGCTCACACCGAAAGCACTTATCAAACACCTACTGTGTGCCTCGTCTTGCACATGTTGGTCAGGCTGAGGGTGCTCCCTGGTGGTGTGATTCCTCCAGCCTGGAGGGAACACCACATCTCCGTCCTCCTCCAGATCAGACACCAAGTCTTCATACTTCCTTCCGAACACAGCAAAGGGACACACTCTCCTTGAGTGGGGTCAGCCTGAGGGCGAGGTCCCTCACCTGCTGCTCCTAACGCATTCTTCTCACCTACTGCTCTGATCTCCCCACCTTTCCTCTCCCCTGAGGTCCTATGGGTCTCTGGCCCAGTCTCCAGGCTCAGTCCTTTGCAGAGTCTGCTTGCTTGGCCCACTTTGGGCTTTCCTCCAAATCGGTATCAGTGGTCCCTCCTCCCAGGAGCCCTCATTAGCTGGGCTCAATGGCTGCATTGCCCTTCATGAGCAGATGATCCCTGGTCAGTCCCCACAGCCAAGGCCAGGCTTGAGGTGGCCACCTCCTAGGGACCGTCTCTCACTATGCTTCTCTGCAGGTCCAGAATGTTCACGGAGCTTTCAATGCTCTCGGGGGAGCAGACAGACTCGCCTCCAACCGTGAGTATCCTAACATAGAGCAACTGTCTCCCCCAGGAGTCCCCACGCCACAGGTAGCATGGGATCAGGGTAGCCAGAGGGGCAGAAGGGCCAGTCAGGTACTTGCTGCAAGCCAAGGTCACATCCTCACACCATTCCCCTCCCACAGGGGAATGTGCCCTGTGAGGTACACAGACTCATTTCCATCTTCTGGAAAAGGAAAAGAGTAGCCCGGGCCCAGGGATCGCAGCCCTGGACTAGTGCTAAGCTCTGACTCCAGCGGTTGTCACTGTTGTTAATCACTGCTTTGCTATTGTCTTTTGAGGTGGAAATCACCTGAATCCCATAGAATGGTAGCAGAAACAGAATTCACTCTGTGAGAACTAGCTCCGTAGGTGGCCGGTGCCAGAAAACAGCCGTCCCCTCCTCTCTCCCCTCCTGCCCAAACCTCTCCTATCTACCATTGGCTCCTTCCAAAGTATTAGAGAGCACTGGATCTCCACTCAGGGCCAAAGAGTGCACGCACATACCTCCGTTTTTATACATACCCCTACGTACATGTGCCTGCCTGCACACACACAGAATGCTAAGGAAAATAAATGTGCTCTGGGTCACTTGGAAGAACTGTATCAGGGTTAGCCCTACTATGTGGGCAGGGACCTACATCTTGGAAAGTGAGAAGCTGCTGGCCATGATGTCTCAGGCCTGTTTGGCAGTCAGACACCAAATGCATGTTGATCAGGCGAAGTACCAAGTTCTAGAGACAGGAAGATGACTGGACCAAGCAAATAGCCTCTGCAGGCTTCCATTCTGTGCTGTTGACTTGGAAAGACGTTCATGGTACCTCGTCCTGAGGAGAAGCCCCGGGTGATTCCATGAGGACATCTGGCATGTGATACTTGAGTGGGAATGTGAACTGGTTTTCTGTACACAGTAGAAAGAAGCTTTGTTTTTCTTTCTTTCTTTCTTTCTTTCTTTCTTTCTTTCTTTCTTTCTTTCTTTCTTTCTTTCTTTCTTTTTGTGACTACCTATGTTTTGTACAAATAACAAAAAAAATATTACAGTTGTGGTTTTTGCTGTGAGGCATTCATTCCTTCAAATTCTATCCCTGGATGATGGGAATTTGAGACATGTACTTCAAGGTGGTCTTTGGTCTCCTGGTCTAGGTATAGATGCTAGGCCACACCTAGGAGTCTCCAGGGATGAGAACCATGGTCATCAGCCTTTGATCCCAAGTGACCCTGGTGCGCAGAACCCTGAGAGCCACTGTGGGCATGAACAAGAGGCGTTGAATCCTCTAGGCTTAGCTCAATGGCTACAGGGCTTTCCCCAAGTTTCCTGGGGTGAGGGGTTAACTCGATTAGAGGAGTGCTGTCCTCTCCTGAGGAGACAGCAGGGCCAGAACTGGTCTGGGACAGGAGTTCTCTCCCGGCCCACCACTCTTATACAGGAATCTGAATCTGACCTGCAGGGACCAGCTTTAGAACCCAGAAGGCTAAACTTCCATGTAATTTTAGCTCCATTTTAGTTTCCAGTCCAAGGTTCTAGAAGGTATAAGAGGGTTGGATATTGGACCTTTAACAGCATTCCAAAGCCCCTCGGGGTTCAGTGCTTGCCTGGGGAGGCTGTGGCAGCTCTGGTTCCGGTTACCTCATGCTTATCAGTAGCTGATTGATCCATTCTCCATTCACGCCTTTGTCCAGTCATCCTTCTGTCCATTCATTCATCCAGCAAGATTTGCCACTGTCTGCCCCGTACCAGGCACCGTGTAGGAATGTAAAACTTAGCCCCTGCCCTCAGCATCTTCCCCCATCCTGGCTGGGAGGAGAGGAGAGAGCTGGGTAAAAGGGTCATGTTGAAATATTGCAAGGCTGGAGGATCAGCAGTTTAGCCAGATCCTTGGAAAGAAATTGACCAGATTTCTTTGTTGTTTGTTTTTGCAGTGCTAGGATGGAAGCCAAGGCCATGTTTACACTAGGCAGGTACCTGCCCCCCGAGCCACATCCCAGTCCCCTGGGATTGATCAGTTCTTACGGAGTTCTTTCTGGAAGGTTCTTTTCATTTTTCTTCCTGAAACCCAGATTATTTTAAAAGTAAAAGCAACACAGACAAATACCCTTAATGAAATGGGGTCTTCCCAGAATTCTACCTTTCTCCCTAGAAAATTTCATGGGGTGTGAGTGATGTCGGGGTTAATGTGATTTTTACCAGCCCTCTCTAGTCTAGGTGAAGATGAAACTGAAGCTGCTCCATTTCCTGGAGATCTTTCTAGATAATTCTGTATGTTACCCATTGAAGACACTGTGCTCCTTGGCCTAATTCACAGGCACACGCTGATCTGTGGCTTGGATGTGGGAGAACATACCTTCTCAGCACCCCTCTTTAATGGCTGTGATGGCTCAGAATGTTATATGTCATGGAATGCAGATGTGAAGGTCCCAGCAATTGGAATTGCTTAGGCCTCGGCATCCCAGAGAAGAGGAGAGGAAAGGACCCTGCCACGGCGGGAGGACCTGAGTTTGGGATTACATGCAGAGCCACCTGCCCGTCAGCGCCCAGCCCCCGTTTCATCTTGTTTTATATTCCCTGCAGCCCTGGCCTCCCATGACTACATCTTGAAGATTGTGCCCACCGTGTATGAGGACAAGAGTGGCAAGCGGCGCTACTCCTACCAGTACACAGTGGCCAACAAGGTGAGTGGGCCGCCATGGGCTGCGTATTGCACTTGCGCCCTCTGCTGGCTGAGAGCATAGGTGATGCCCCGCACAGTCCGCCGAAAGGAATTTCGTGGGGTTGAGGAGGTAGGTAGTCCTACCAGACTCATTCTCTAGTCTAGGGGAAGATGAAATACTCAGTTCTTGCCATGGTAGTGGCCTCAAGATTCAGGGGACAAACAAGGAGATAAGATGTGATTTGTTCGAAATAGGCAGAGGGCCGTCCCTAAACATCCCAGGTCTGCCATCTTCGGGTCCTGGTTTCTTCAGCCTCCTGCTTATTTATCATCAGTACATGGTAGAGGCTTTGGATCAGCCAAGGAGGCATATCATGATGGCTGTAGAAGTCCCAGGACTCCAACACTCTTTAAGAGACAGACAGGTCTTATGGGAAAGAGAGAGACATCAGAGCCAAAGAAATGAGATGACCCAGCAGTTAGTGGCTTGGGCCTCTCCAGAAACAGTGCTGCCAGCGGAACATAAGAGCTTAGAATAGGTTTCCTGTTTGCCACCAGACACTCCTGTTTCTGATGTCGCAAGGCTACCCCCAAGTCCTTAGTAAATGATGGACTGTTAAGCTCACTTAACTGTCATCATGGCGGAGGTAAGCATTATCATATCCTGAATACTTCAGAACTAGGCACACCCAGCTCCCTGCCCCCATCACTATTTTCAGTCACTATAACTGCCCTGGTATGGGAGCTGTTGTTCCCATTTTACATGTTGGTCACTGAGCAATTGAAAGGTAGTTCCAGGGCCGGATAGTTGCAGCGAAGGGATTAGAACCAGGTTCCTCTCGGGCTCCAGAGCCAGAGCCCCAGGTTGCTCACCCACTCAGTCTGAAAAGAGGCTGTTCGGGCTTGCCCAGTTGGGAAGCCTCTTAGTGATGGGTCCCCCCACTCTGATTCCCTCTGATCCTTAATTCTCTCTCTCTCTCTCTCTTGTCTTATTTCTTACATTCTCTATTTCACAGAAGGTGTCTATCTTATTCCCTTCTCTTCTTAGGCTACAATAAAGTCCTAAGGCTAGGTAATATATAAATAATAGAAGTTGATTTATCTCATGGGGTTGGGAAGGGGAAGTCAGCTCAGCCCCAGCCTGTGGTGGGCCTTCTTGCTGTGTCATCCCACAGTGGCGGGCAGAAATACAAGCGTACTAACTTAGGAACATCTTCCTCTTCTTACGGGAGAACTAATGCCGCCCTTAGCAACTCCTCTCATGGTCTCATCTTACTTAATCACTTTTCAAAAGGTCCCACCTCTAATTACCACTAATATATACTTATGGGTTCAGTCCCTTGAACTACAGAAAAAGAACAGGGTAAATTTAGATGAAGTGGTGTTACACTTCCTAGCGTGCACGGGGCTCTGGGTTCAAGCCCCAGGACTGCAACAAACAAATGCGTATGACTTTTGGGGGGCACATTTACACCATTGTACTCATTGTAACCGCCAGTGCCACCACATCTAAGCAGGAAGCATGGGGGGCTCCGGACCACACTTCCCTATTCCAGCTCAGTCACTGCTGTTTACTTGTTTATAACGTCCATGGTAGTTACTTCGCAAGATTGCTGTCAAGTGAAGCAATGCTTTCAGAAAACGCTCAGCCTACAAAGAAGGCTGGGGTCATTGGTGCCTACTGTTGCCCTTTTTTTTTTTTTTTTTTTTTTATTCTGTTTCTCACCCCTCAGCTCTGCTACACCCCAGATAATCACCCTGCCCTCCCAGCTCTCCCAGGGGAAGCTGAATTTCTCTGCTCCAGGCTTCTTCCCTCAAGGCTTTGGCTAGGGCCTGGTGGCTGGAACAGCTCACTCAGCATTCCCTGTGGCTTTGGCCCCAGCCTGGCCTGCGAGTGAAAGTGCCTGTCCAGTAGGAGGTTAGGACTCAGTGGTGTCTGTGCGATCAGGCCAGCTGCTCAAGACCAGTGCAGGAATCATAGGAGGTTAGGCTTGGGGTACCCTAGCATGCGTCTCCATTTGTTGTCGACAAGGGAGACAAGCTTTTCAGTACCCCTGCAGTGTCCAAATAAGGTCCAATGGGTCATCAGCTCCTAGATCCCTAGGGTTGGGATGGGAAAAACAGCCCTCCAGGAGAGATGAAACTGGTCCAAAGATAACCTGTCCCTTTAGCTCCCTGGTGGCCCATTTGGTCATTGCTGTGTATTGAATGTATTCTTAGGAGCCATGGCAGTCTGGGCACTGCGCCTTTCCAGTTCTCTGGGCTGGCCCTGCTTTGTGGGCAAGCTCACATCTCCTTGGCCTTTGTACCCATCATACACCAGGCAGGATGTCTTCTTACCCATCAGGTGTGGCTTAGAGTGGCCCCTCCTCTGTGAGCCTTCCGGAGTCCACCGAGGAGAACCAGCGGTTCACTCACTGATGGTCCCTCTGAGCGCTCGAGTTCCTTCATCCTAGATGAACACTGTAGGAAGTTAGTGACGTGATGCTGTCTTCATCCTCCAGCCTGGCAGCCAGGGCGGGAAGGGGCTTCGTCACCCCAGGAATCCCAGAACAGCAGAGGTACTCAACAGCATCAATGAGTGGATTTCATGCAGCCAGGGAAGTCCAAGGAGGAAAGAGACTGAGCCCAGAACCCACTTTTCTCTTACCTCTCACCCTTCAGATTTGTGCTCCATTCTGGCACCGCTTCTATGTTACATGGTCTATCTCCCCCAGCTGAAGGGGTCTGGAATGCCCCCTCAGTGCTGCCTGTCCCAAGACCTCGGCAAGAAGATGAGAGGGAGCTGCCTGGATGCCCTCTGCAGTCCACACTGTCACCCACTGAGGCCGGTTCTACTTCTCACCCTCCTTCTTTCTCTCTCTGTAGGAGTACGTTGCCTACAGCCACACGGGCCGCATCATCCCTGCCATCTGGTTCCGCTATGACCTCAGCCCCATCACAGTCAAGTACACAGAGAGAAGGCAGCCGCTATACAGGTTCATCACCACGGTGAGTGCCCAAGCGCCTGCTGTGGGCTCCATGCCTAGGCAGCCCTCACCTACTCTTGCTGGAACCAGATGGAGCCTGCTAGGCCCCAGTTGAACACAGGTGGCTTTGACTCCCAGACTGGTAAGACGAGTTACCAGAAGCATCCTGCACCCTCTGTCGTTTCCCTCGCTGATTGTTCTGGGAGGTCCCGCTTAGCACATCTCATGCCTAACGGTAGTCTGCACTGGCTCCAGGATGTTGGTGATTTTTTTTTTCCTGTTTCTGTTGTTGTTTTGTGGAAATTATTTTCAGTTTTGTGTTTTTTTTTTTTTTTTTTTTTAAGACAGGATTTCTCTATGTAGACTTGGCTGTCCTGAAACTCACTCTATAGACCAGGCTAACCACAGACTCACAGAGGTCCGCCTGCCTCTGCCTCCCTAATGCTCGGATTAAAGGCCTGAGCCACCATGCCTGCCAAGACATGTCCTTTTCATTTCTTCTTTTCACGTCTTCTCTCAGGGCACGGCTGGCTGTCCTGGTTCCGGCATGTTATTTCTTCCTGCTTAGTTTCCTTCCCTCTTTTTTCCTTCTCTCCACCTTGTCTTCTACTCCAGGCAACAGTAGCATGCCAGTTTTCTTTTAGACTGATTATTTCTGTCACATGAACAATTTCCTGGCCTCCAACTCACAACCTTGGGTACAGAGCAGGTGGATCACAGTACCCACTCCATTCTTGAGGCTCTGGAGCTCTGGGGTACATCAGCAGAGATGAAAGACAGAACAGCTCTCTACCTGTCACATTTAGACACTGGGGCTTAAAAAAATATATGTAATATTGGAAGACCTTTTAGGGGCTGAGGCAGGGTCTCACTGTGTGGCCGAGGCTGGCCCAGAACTTGCAGAAATTCTCCTGGGCTCAGGAAACCTTCATCAGTCTCCTAAGTAGCTAGGAGTGCCATTTCTCCTAATTTCATACTTTTAATAATGGTTCAAGATCATGGTTCCAAATCCTGGCTGGTTCATTTCCCGCTGGGGTGAAATCTGCATTAGTCAAGACAGGATCTGTGAAGCTGGCGTTGGGGGTGAGTCGGCATCAGACGTGCTCGTATCTCGTTTTAATCTTGTCTTACTTTGTAAGAAGTATCTGTCTCCATCTTCCAATCTTTTTGTCTTTCTCTGTCTTGGCTTTGTTCTCGGATGGAATTTAGCAGTAGTGGCTTTCTATTTATTTCTCAGTAGTCCCATGCCAAACCCCAGAAAGGAAGGTGCTGTCCTTGTCTCAGCTCAGGTCCCATGATGTCCTTCTGTTCTTCTGGCTTAGAGAATGGAATTCTCTGCTTGGCCCAGGCTAGATCTCTTGCCCTCTCTGGAACCAAAGACTGTGAGGGAAGGCATGCCTCAAGAGGAAAATCAAGGCCAGCCGCTGGGCGGGGATGACTAGGCACTGCTAGGCACGTGGTCAGGGAGGTGTCTGCAGCTAGGCCATTGCTTCTAACCAGTGAAATGAGAATAATGAGCTTTGTTCTTGCTACCTCCCGGGCCCGTGAGGCTCACAGAGCATCGTGGAAGGGAAAACTGTGCAGATAAAAGGAACAAGCAGGTGGGTATGCACACCATGTGTCGTGAGCCTGAGCCTTAGATAAGCCTCCAAACAGCCTTTTGGCCATTCTGTGACTGCACGGGAATCCAAAGCCTGTGTTGAACCAACAGCACCCACATAGAGCTGAAACCCCACACAACAGGCTGGAAGGGCTTGCTACACGTGTGTGTGTGTGTGTGTGTGTGTTTGTGTGTGTGTGTGTGTGTGTGTGTGTGTGTGTGTGTGTGTGGAACGGGCCTCGGCATCTACATAGATTGAGTCCACAATGGCAAGTAATAGCTAAGTGGCCAAAAGGAGCGAGGCCAGGGCTCAGGACCGCTGTTCCCTGGTAGACCTGGTGAAACCTGTGCCTTTCGATTGAACTTGAAAAAAAAAACAACCATACTCAAAATATTCAGACCCATTCAAGCCTACCTGCCAGGCGATATTCAAAGCCTACCACTCGCCACAAAGATGCAGAGGAGATAAAACTAGGGACCCACATGCAGGAGGAGATTTATAAAAGTTTTCACCTCCAAATCAAGGAATTTGCGGACAAATGCTTGTACCCAAGATCCCCCAGGAGAGCACGTGCTCTAAGCGCATGTGGGTGCAAACTTGTCCTATCCTAGTCCCACTGCATACCCAGAATAAGCCAGAGGATGAGCTATCAGCAGATGTCCCTCATGCTTCCAGGCAGGTGCAGCCTGTCCTCAGAGGCCTGGGGGGGTACTGTCAGAGGTGGCATTGACACACCACACTGCTAGGCTCCCTCCGTGGGTCCCCAACCCCCCCCGTTCCCATTTGCTCATAGGAAGCAGCTGATCTCCTGAGCACCAAAGCCCCTTGGCAAGTGGCTGAGGAACAAGGCAGCTTCGGTTACTCATCTCCTGTTTGCTAGAATCCGCCATGTCAGGTCTGAGTGAGCCTGGCCCTCCAGTGGTATGGAACATTCCTGTGAGAACATGGTGCTATGCCATGGGAGCCCTGTTCCTGGCTTCCACGGTGGCAGAGAGGGGAACCTCACACCTCTTCAGCGAGGCTCTGACATGTTAGGGAGGAGAGGGATGCCTTGGAAATGGTCTCCTGTATACAGAGACACCACTCCAGCATGCTTTGTGAAGGCCAACCAGCTCTCCCCTTGGGATGGACTCCCTGTTAAGTCAAGGAGAACCATTGACCTTCCGAGAACTGGAAGTTCCGCAAAGTCACAGGGAAGATCTTCCTGGCCCAGCACCACCGTGACCCCTACCCTTGTTTTTCTCTCCTCAGCCCCTAGCTTGTTGGCCATCTCTACCAGGTCCACCTCTGCTGCAGCACCTATAAACCCCAGGCTTGCTCACCTCCCTGCTCCATGGAACCTCCTGTGAGCTTTCTGAAGGCCCCAGGCTGCCATCTTGGTTGCCATGGCAACCATAGGGCCATCTCACGAGCCAGCTGGCTCCCGGCAGATGGCGTCATTGTGGAGCTTCAAAGCCTGTTGTCACGGGGCAGCAGATGTGAGGGTGACGCCGGCTCTCAGACACACTGCACAAAGACTCCTGGAGCCTTCGGAGGGTGGGTGGGGCTGTGGCAGAGTGGAGACACCTGCCGCGGGCTTCTCTGCCTCTCCTTTTAATATCAAACACTTGTGTGCAAAGCTCTAAACTCCAAGTGGGTGTCCTCTGCAAATAGCCTTTCAGAAGGGGCTGCTGAAGAAGGGCTTAGGCCAACATGCTGTCATGTGATGGCTTCAGGGAAAGGACAGCAGCTGTGGCTGGGCTGGAGCGAGGGCATAGCTCCAGGAGAAGCTCTTTTCACATACCTGGGACCAGGCTGATTCTGGGCTCTCTTCAGGGTCTAGCAGAGGACATGCTCTGCCATACCAGTACCAGGCTGCCCAAGGCTTCCCTCTCTGGACCCTCAAAAACAATACCTCCATCAAAGTATGCCTCTTACTCTACCAGAACGTTCTTCCCCGAAAGGAATAAGCATTGCATTTGGCAGTATGCACGTGCCTGCATCCCTCCCCACCCTGACCCCTCCATATCGGTCCCCTGATGCTTGCTGAAACCCTTCTTTTGAGATTGCCTTTAACTGGGCTGTGGTGACAGATTGGATGACTTGAGCTGTCAAATCTCTCTTTGCATGGTTTATTTTATTTTGAGAGCGGGGATACCCAGGAGCCATAAAGTGCCAAATTGGGCTGGTATGACTGTAACAATTGTTGCCCGCCAGAAAAGTACCAGAGGCCAATGGTGCACTGCTCCCATTGGACTATCATGCAGCCCATTCAGCTGAAGAGACACTTAGGGACCTCCAGATGAGGGGATTTTGCTGGAGTAAGCCCCACCCACTCGTGGTCTTTCCACTCTCCTCCCCCATACTTTCCTTACCAGGAAAACAATGCCATGCTTTAGATGGCACTTCACAGTTGTCAGGTCCAGTTATAGCCTCCAGGTGTCATGACTCATTTATCAGTGTCCCTAGCTTCTAGCGCAAGTCCTGGTCTGCACTCCGGGGTTCACAGATGTGAAAGTAACAGCTGCTTAAAAAAGTGACAGTAGCTAACTATACTAAGCACCTACTGCGTATCAGGCAATTCTGTAATTATCCTGTGCCCCTTCCAGGAACCTCTGAGTGCATTCTAGTTTGTGTTTTAGATGTTGTGGTTCCCTGCTCTGCTTCCTCCCTCGGCATTCAGGGGCTGCTGTACACTGGGCTGGGAAAGATAAGGCGGATTGGGGAATGAGCGTGTCCAGGAGGGATCCTGTCACCCCTCCCTCCCCCCGTGCCTCCCTTGTCTGTGCACCTCTCACCCCTTGTTTCCAGTGTTACAGCCCTCTTGGGCAATAGCCGGTCTGGGTCTGCTTCTTCTCTTTGGAGCATCTAGGCACCCGAGCATACTGGAGGCGAAAGTAGAAAGCCTAGCCTGGTGGGCGGGTCTGAGGGGCCCAGCCTGGTGGTGAATGTCCAGGGGGAGAAAGCCTTCTCCCTCCCATGTAGTCCTTCAAGTGTAACAGCCTTTTAGCTCTGTTTTTCCCAGTGAAGCAGCTTAAACGACATTTGGTGAAACAGCTTGTGCCAGTTTATTCAGGGTGAACAAGGGGCATGTGAACCTTGGGAGGGTGGGAAGGGACCCCCAGGGTGGGCATATCGTTGGTTGGGGCTGGGATGCTGGCAATGCTTTATTCACACGGAGAGGAATTCCAGGTGCCAGGCCACATGACTGCCCCGAGAGTTGCAGAGGTAGAGGGTCAGGACTGCGCCAGGGCGAGGTGGCACAGAACAAGGAGGGAAGGATCCTTACTCCTGCCTGTCTCAAGAATGACATTTCCAGGGTTAGGATACATCTCTACCTTGTTCTAGCTCCATGCCAGATTCCCTGGCGACACAGTCCAAGGGCCCCACAGATATGAATTCACCTGAGGCTCAGAGAGGGAAAGAAACTCCTCCAAGATGA